ATATATACATACAAATATATATTTTTAAAATTAGAACAAAGGTCACTTTTTTAAAAACCTGCAGATTAAGAACTGGCTTATAGAATGCATTGTTGATTATCCTATATCATCTGCCTAGACAATCATCTCTAAAATAGTGCATAGTAATTAGGAATACAATTAGCTTAAAGCAAGTGAACTATTGGGAGTGATGAGGTGAAAGGAGAGAGCAGAGTGGAAAGAGCCTGATCATGAATATCCCAGAAAAGCTAGGCAGGTAAAAAGGAGACTAGACACAATGTTTAATGAAGCAGCAGGATTTTCCATCAGGGGAGTATTGTGATGAAATGATGCATTGGAAATCATAAACTGCCTGGAGAGTGCAGCCTGAATCAGCTGGTTGAGCAAGAGTAATTAAGTAATGCCTGAAAACCAGAGCGGTTAAGGGGGACAAGAGGATTGTGTAGGAATATGAGAGTCTCCAGGGGTACATTAGCTTTAGAGAGTAAAGGGTTATAAGAATGGTGGCGGCATGAACAGAAGACATAATCTGAGCGAAAATTATGAATCGAGCTTTACATGTGTTGAGTTTGAGAGGACAGTGAGAACATCTGTCCAAGCTAGTTTAATGGAGAGATGAGCCAAAGAGCTGGCTAATGGGCAGAGAGCTTGGGCATTGCCGTCTCCACAGTGTGGCAAGCTCACCTTTGAGTCTGGGATGAGGAAACATTAAGATGGATCTTTGGGCTCAGCCTAGTGATACAGTCTATGGCAAACTGAACTGCAGTGCTAGAAGCACTATGGCCCGCTGTGAGTCCAAATATCCAGGTTAGCCTGAAAACACATGGGGCACATAAATAAGTAGGAAAATCCTGAAGCTCTGAAGGGCAGGAGAATGGGGATTGAGGCATGATAAGATCCCATGAAAGGTGTTTGTTTCTCTTGCACATATGTGCATGCTCTTTCTCACTAGTGCACATGCATGTGCTCTCTATCATGAATAAAGCAAAAACACTTAAAAAGATTTAAAATGGACCTTAGAACTACAACTGAAGCTAATAAGCTAAGAAACACTCATTAGGGGAACCAGCAGTTAGTGTAATGGTTATGTCGCTGGACTCCCACGTAGTCCACCGCAGTTCGCGTCCCGGACCCGGTGGCTTAAAACTTACGCTGGGTGCATGTGTGTGCGTGCCCAAGATCCCAAGAGGAGACTGGAGGAGAAGGGATTGCGGCGTGACCATCCCCCCTGGGGAGTGATTTCTCGCTTTCTGTCTCTCTGGCTCTCTCTGTCTGTCTGGAGAGTGCACGCACCCTATAGCGAAAACCTCTCAAAAAAAAAAAAAAGAAAGAAAGAAAGAAAGAAACTCTCATTAGGCAATAATGTGTTTGTACAGTTTCAAGCACTGCTACTTTCTGGGGAGGGGGTGTGGGTTCTTCCACAAAAATAAATGTTCAGTGACCCAGTGGCTGAAATTTATGTTCATCAACATTTTATTTCTTTTGCATTCTGAAAATGACTTCTGTTACTATATATTCCATTTTCTAAAAGTAAGAAATTTTTAGAAGAACAGGGAGTTAGTGGTGTAGAAATAGAAGTTCCATTAGACTTCTTAGGACAGTGCTACTTGTTGCCTGTGACTCTCCTTCATTTGCCAGGAGAAAAAGCTCTTTAGTAGCTGATCCTATATTTTAAAATTCTGCACATGGTCCAGCAGATGGTGTAGTGGTTAAGGTGCTGAACTCCCACGTGGCCAACCGCAGTTTGAACCCAGAACCTGACAGCTTGAAACTCATGAAGGGTGCATGTGTGTATATGCCCAAAGAGGATAATGAAGAAGGGATTGTGATGTGGCCATCTCCAGGGAGATGGTTTCACATTTTCTCCCTCTCTGTCTGGCAAGCACACACCCTATAGCAAAAACAAATGAACAAACAAACAAAAAACACACCTCTCCAAAAAAAAAAATTCTGTATGGTAGCCTCTGTGTCTTCTCCTCAGTCATCATCAACTTCTTCCCTATGTTGTTCCCTGATCTTCTCTCTTGCTTGAACTGTGGACACAATTCTCCAGGACCCATCTGCTGTAGTTTGTGTCCCCCAAAGTTTACGTGTTGGAAACTTAATCCCCAGGGCAGCAGTGTTAAGTGGTAGGACCTGTAAGAGGGCTCTACCTTCATGGAAGGATTAATGTTATTATTGTAATCTATGAGGTGAGGTGATGCAGTAAGGAGGTGCTCACCAGACGCTGGTTCCTCAGTCTTGGACTTTTCAGTTTCTCCAAACTGTAAGAAATGAATCTCTGTTTTTTTTTTTTGGTTTGTTTCTTTGTTTGTTTGTTTGTTTTTGAGAGGTTTTCGCTATAGGCCACGTGCTCTCGCCAGACAGACAGAGAGAGACATAGAGACAGACAGCGAGCAATAACCCCCCAGCGGGGGATGATCATGCCGCAATCCCTTCTCCATTCTCCTCTCGGGATCTTGGGCACGCACGCACATGCGTCCGGCGTGAGTTCTAAGCCACCGGGTCTGGAACGCAAACCACGATCGACTACATGGGAGTCCAGCGACATAGCCATTACACTAACTGCTGGTTCCCATGAATCTCTGTTTTTATAAATTACTGAGTCTCAGGTATTCTGTTACTGCACCCCACCCAGGACCCGTATCACAACTATAAACTTTGTTATTTATACATCAACCTGAGAATTGCTTGTTCCTAATGGTATGGTAATTCTCTAGCACAGTTCTAAATATTTGAAAGAAGTCAACAGCTTGATCAAGAAGCATCAATTCATCTTCCTAGCTTCTACTGCACTAAAAGGCAAGTCCAATGTGGGCATATCTCCTAGCATCTTGTGATAACCATTTTCTCTCTCCTTCTTGAAGTTGTATTGCCTTGAAGGTGTATTTTGAATCCTTCACATTTTTCTGTCAGATTACTTTTTTATATAATTATTAAATTTCAAAAATAAACCAAAACTGTCTGGTACAGTGGTGATGTAATTGAATCTGCATGCAGAGGTCCCAGGTTTGCATCATGTGGCCTCCCTGTACATGGAGGGTGTGTGGATGACTGTGTCCAGAAGTGGTTGAGGTTGGTGGTGGATGGTGGCATGCAGACTTTGTTGGGTATGCCTCTTCCTCTCATCAAAAATATTTTTTAAAAAGTATTACATAAATTTCAGGTATATGGTTCATGTCTCTATTTTACTGTATGCAGTCACATCTTTATTTTCAATGTCTTTGATAAGTCTTCCTAGATGGCACCATGTGACCCTAGTTAGGGACCTGTTATGGTTCTTTGTGGCTTTTAGTCATATTCACTTTTCCTTCTTCTCAGATTAAATATGCTACTCAAAGATCCTTTCATAGTTTTTCCCTCCCCTCAGATGAAATATGCTACTCAAAGATCGTTTCATGGTTCCATGAAGGTCTATATTATGATAGCAATTTCTTAGATATTTCTCCCAGAGCTAACATAATGAGTATCTGGATGAGATTGTTAGTAAATAATTGTTGAATTAAATATTAGCTTATCATTTTTTTCTAAAGATACTTTTTAGCAGTATAGTTTCTTTACATTTCAGAAGTTCTTTGCAAATGTATTTGCTCTGATAAGCATAACACAAATGGTAGAATATGCCTTTTTGCAAGATAGTCTTAAAAGAAATTCTAGAGCCTTAGAAGTTTTTATAATATGCAGTAAGAATGCTTAATATATTCAAAAATGTCAAAACTATCGCAATTTTCCAAAAATTAACACAAAGGCTCACATTCCTTTAAACTTTTTCAGTATCTAGCAATGGGAATCCATAGTAGTTATCTAAAACAAGAGCTTGGAGAAGAACATAATGAAAATAATTTGTTTTTCTCTGTTGATTTAAAAATGATATTGTCTTATCACAGTGTATGTCGTGCATCATGATTAATTATGAAGTACTAAAGCGTCAAGTCCAGTGTGACTGTCGAAGAGCTGTGGTCTCTTTTTACATAATTAGAGGAATTTCACAGCTGTGAGTGAGTCAGTTTTATGGCAATTTATTTTAGCTAAACCATTGATGTGCATCTCAAGCATTTCATCAATAATTTAATTTTTAGCATGTGTTTAAAATCCAAACGTGATTATGAATCCAAATGTGATCTTGTGTTATGAATAAAAAACAGTAAAAGCTTTGAGAAAGACTGAAGGATGGTGAGCTGTGTCCTCATTACGTAGTCAGAAGAGAATAACTAGGGA